AATAATGGTGATGAAGAGTTTATTATAAACTAACAAGCAAAATCAAATTCATGAATTATTTTATAGTTCTGTTATCAGTATACTATATATCTGTGGCTTTAGATCTTAAGCTTGAAGTCCAAACATTGCTATTAATATTAGCCAACATTACCATTGGCCAAACTTGTTTTTGTCTCATAAGATAATGTAAAAGCTAAATATACCCCTGGAGTCTCAAAACACTTTACTGTTCATAAACAGATAGTGTTGACAGTGTTGAGGGCAAGGGAGTTATTTTTAATAAACTAATGAGTGTTAATTATAGAAGTATAGAATGTTGATTAATACATTTAATACTAAATTGTTTAGTTCATTATAGATGTATATATCTACATGCAGGTGTGCTCCCACCACCTGATTTTGATGAATTTTTTCTGTGGGTAGAGGTAGATCATACTGCAGACTTGTTCTAGGGAAGCTGCACGAGAGATAGCATAGCACCTTATAAAGTATCCGCAAATGTGTCTCTGTTTGTATGTGTGTGTGGGGTGTGTGTGTGTGTTTTCTTAAGTCGTGTTACTGAAGGTGATTTCTCTGTAAATATATTTGTTACAATACCTTTAGAGATACCATTGTCTCTAGTTTGTTCACTGAGTCTGTTTTCCCAGTTGGAGGCTGGAGGGAGGTGAGTGGGGGAGGGTAACACTTATTAAGCACTGACCATATGTCAGATGCTTTATTCACTTTTCCTCCATTTCATTCTCANACTTATTAAGCACTGACCATATGTCAGATGCTTTATTCACTTTTCCTCCATTTCATTCTCATAATTATATCCCTAGAAGGTAAGTGTTATTGTATCTGCATCATATACGTTGGAGGCTTAGAGAGACTGTCTTTCCCAAGATCAGTCAGTCAGTGTGACCAGAATTCAAACCCAGATCTGTCTGACTCATGCTGTTTGTTTCTCTCCGTACACCAGGCCACCTCCATCTTCTAAAATTCTAAATCATCTCTTCAGCCCAGGGTTTCCCTGTGTGGATATGTGTAAGAGAAAACTTGGCTAGTCCGACCAGCACATACCTTTAGTGCTGCATTGTGCTTACTCATTTCTGGTTCTTGATGCACTTGTCTCCCTATCCACAGCATAAATAAAAACAAAACAGTGCCATTTTATTTGTGCTTTAATATGGTAAGCAGCAGCTTTATCTATTTTTTGGAAGCAGATGAGTAGACATTATATGAACTGAAATTTCTTATTATTCAATTTCATGACCTGGTCCTCGGTTTGTGGATTTTGAATAGTCTTCAGGAGACATATGAAGCAAAAAGGAATGAGTTCCTGGGAGAACTGCAGAAGAAAGAGGAAGAAATGAGACAAATGTTCGTTATGAGAGTGAAGGAAAAAGAGGCTGAACTTAAAGAGGCGGAGAAAGAGGTAAACATCTGTCCTCCTTCCAGGGAAGGAAGCACAGGAGAGGTGCTTTACCCACCTCCCGTTTTATAGGACTTCACGCTGGTCCGGGTACTTTCCACATACATTTTATCACGTAAGCGACATACCAACCTGGCGAGAAATTGGGTTGGATTTTCTTATCCCCATTTTACAGAAGGTAAACTGAGAGTCGTAAAGGTTAAATGATTTTTGTAGTCATACACAGTACGTAGTAGCAAAAACTGAGACTAAAACTAGGGCTTAGGTCTCCAGACTTGGTCACGTGTTCTTTGTAGCTCTGTGTTTGTTTATTTATTTGGTTTTTTTTTTTTTTTTTTTTTTTTTTTTTTTTTTTTTTTTTNGCGGGAGCGCCGCCATGCTCCCAAGCGCCGCACTCTACCGAGTGCGCCACCGGGCCGGCCCTATTTGTTTATTTTTTAATAGATGACCGGGAAGGGGATCTTAACCCTTGACTTACAGCCATCCCTATATGGGATCCGAACCCATGGCCTTGGTGTTATCAGCACTGCACTCTCCCGAGTGAGCCATGGTCCAGCCCCCTGTGTTTAATTCCCAAGTCTCAAAACATGAGATTTGGGATCCTGGGACTATTGTTGTTATCTTAGTCTATCAATCAGCCAATTCAGAGAACTGAGCAGAGGAGAGTCCCTGTGGCTCTGCCTGGTGGACGACAGTCTGACACAAAACCTCTGCTCAGGTCCTGTCTGTGTCTCTCTCTGCTGGCCACGTGCTTCCTGCTCTAGCATCCCTCTGACCCCACCTCAGTCCCCATCCCCAGGTCAAACTAAGTGCCTCCTACCAGTTTACATGGGTTTCTACTATAACACTCATCTCACTGGATTTGAATATATGTGTGTGTAAAATGCGTCTGCTTCTGATGGTAGATCACGAGTATCGCAAGTGTTTGACCTATAGCTCAACACGTTTCCAAATGAAAGTATCTGAATGACCTCCTCATTATCTTGTTTTAATTTATCTTTATAAAGACAACTGAAACTTGTAGGTTAAATAGGTGAGCACTCAGGATGGTGCTGCAGAAAATGGAAAGTTGAGCTTTATTTGCTGTTGGCTTTAAGAATCAAGTGGATACTGGGCAAAAACCTAGAATTATCTAGTAAGAGTTCCTTCCAGTTTTTATTTTCAATTGTGATTTTTTAAAATTCAATTTATCAAAGGCCAGAAATTTCTCAACTTATCTTAAGTAACTAATACATATATGTATATGTCTGTGTGTATGTATGTGTAGTCATTGTGTACATCTCTAAGTAAATGTATTTTATACATTTTGAAAAAGGACCAGAAGTAAAGAACCATTTTTATCACTAGGGTGGATTTTTTGTTAGAATCATGGGTGATTTTTATCTTCTATATGCTTTTTAAAATGAATATGTATTTATTACCAGGAAAAGTGTTTAAGAAATTTTTAATCCTGATGAGTTCAAGGGTCAAAAGAGTCTGGGAGTCTGAGGGATGCTCTTCAGCGTCTCAGCCTTGGTCCTCCAATAAGTCATCAAAACATACTTCAGTCCTGTAATTAAAGCAACTGCAGCTGCATGGTGTGAATTTTGTTCTCGCACAGATCCTTACATCGGGAAGATGTTCATTCCCTTCACCATGCCTGTTCTCCTCTGTCTCTCCAGCTTCATGAGAAGTTTGACCTCCTAAAGCGGACACACCAAGAGGAGAAGAAGAAGGTGGAAGACAAGAAGAAGGAGCTTGAGGAGGAGGTGAACAACTTCCAGAAGAAGAAAGCTGCAGCTCAGTTGCTACAGTCCCAGGCCCAGCAGTCTGGCGCCCAGCAAACCAAGAAAGACAAGGATAAGAAAAAGTAAGCAGGTGTCACCCCCATGTGTATTGGGGACCTCTAACAATTTATTCCTCTTGCATGTCTCTACTTTTCCCATTTACAGACTGGAAACTGGTCTGTTACCAGAAAGATAAAAGCAAGTATTTTCTCTACAGTGCAGGGAAGATGATAAAGGTTTTTAAAGTATTTTTAAAGGGTACACAAAGATTAATTTATAAAACTTGACCTTACTGACCAAGCAATCAGGACTGGAAGTAACTTGCCGTCTCCAGTAGCATCTTCTGCACCAGCCCTAGGATTCTTGGAGAAGATGGGTTTATTTCTCTTCAGTACCTCCTGAAGACAATTCTAATGACTCTTTTGATAAAGAGCATCCTAAAATTACGATTGTTGAAATTATTTTCCTAATCTTTGTTGTATAGCCAGTCTTTGAAAGTCTTGTTCCCAAAATGAAATATTTGGAAGAGCTGCTAGTAGCCACTATTTTTCCTCTAAATTCAACAAAATGATGAATTGTTTATTGTGAAATGGGCTCAAAATACCCATCCAGTTAAGACACCCCCACCAACTCTCAAGCCACACCTATACCCACGCACAAAACATTTTTACATATGGCCTTGATTTAATGTGCCAAAGGGTCATATTCTGCTCCTGGGTTGGTTACTTCTTGTGATACTTCAATAGCAGCCGCTTGAATCCAGTGGGAGATTTGGGTCTTCCTTGAAATTCTGTGACTTGAAGCTCTCAGTCATATTACCCTAAAGACTAAAAAGTGCAGTTTTATGACAGTAGCTGTTGGTTTGACAGTAAGCACAGTGGTCAGTAGGCTACCTTTGAGGAAAATCTCTGTGGTGGCCTAACGGTGAATTTGCAAGTGCCACCCTCCTTTGTAAACTATGTAATGTGCAGTGCTCTTAGGGCAGCTGTGAAGCAACTCAGAACTTGTTTCAGTTCAGGATTCTTGCTCTTCATCCTTAGATGCCAAGGTTCTAGGGAAAATGCTAACAACGAAGAAAACAACAAAAATGCTGGTATTTGAGCAGGCAGAGAACTACATTCTTTAAAAACATAGTACACAGGATCGAGTCTCTGCACAGTAATTGAGGACAGTGCGGTTGTCCATGCGGTCTCGGTTCACATGCCGCAGGCTCACCCCTAAGGAATCTCATTATGTCGCCTGTGGTAAAAATCAGAATGCACTGCTACAGTGACGTGCTGAGAGAGTTTTAAGTCATGCTTTACACACACTACCTTTCTAAGCTCTGTGACAGCAGAAAGTGTGTCAAGGAAGCAAGGGAGCAGGCAGAGGTCTCAGCAATAATGGGTGTAGTTGGAGATGAGGTATGAGAGACCCAGGCGACCAAAGCAGTCCGAGGCCCCAAAATTTAGTTATACTAGATTAAGTCTGAGAATAAGGACTGCCTAGATTATAATCCAGTTCAAGAAAACCCTTTGTAGCTACACATGTTGGGAGAATGTCTGACACTGATGGTGACATTCCCCATGCAGATTCAGAGATGACGTGACTCTTCCAATGAAGACGCATAGAAGCCATTTGTCATTGGACCCTTGATCCAGACTAACCCAAGACAGACATAGGGGGTGTGTATGTGTGCACACATCTATAGGCACGAATGAAACAAAAAGCTGCTGAGTCACAGCTTAGGAAACCCAAAGTCCAGTTCTTCTTACCCTGAAGCACTAAAGTACATAAAAGTACAAGTTTTAAAACTAAAAACATTTATCAGAGACCAGCAATGTTAAAAGAATATTTCATGTATAGTGGATGTGCCTTTATTCAATAAAAATTCCCAGAGCTGATCAGTATAGTGCCACAATTTAAAAAAAAGTCTGTTTAATAACTAGCTTCCCAGTGTAGGGAGGTATTTTCCTTGCCCTGTTGAACATGTTAGGTTATTTTTTTCCTACCCTGGGGCCATACCAATGTATAATGCTTTTAAAGTTTACGAGAAGGTTATGTGAATTCTATTTCAGCCTTATTTATATATTCTCATTTATTATTAATGGCATTAGACTTAACTTGGTTTACCGTAGTTACCAGGTTTGTGCCTAATAATGGCATGTGTTTTATGTGTAACTTCTAGGTTCTTACCCTTTTCCACACTTTCCTGTTGTACAGTGAAAGCTACTGCCAGTTGGAGGCCTGGAGTATAAAAGTAAAAAAAAAAAAAAAAAAAAAAATTACACCTTTTACTGCTGGTAGCAGTGGAGAGTTTTGGTTAGAGAGGACCACAGAAAGACAGTAACCAGGGTAACCAGAGCAGCACTTTGAAAAGAAATGGGAAGACTCCTTCTTCCTAGCGGAGCTGGAGCAGATGCAGAAGTGACCACATATGCCACTTAGGAACTTGCTTGTTCTAGGTAGAAAATTAAAAAGAGATGCTTACTTATGTACCTGCTGTGCTTCCACTTCAGAGCTTAACTAGTTTTTCTAACAGTGTTAAATCGATTTTTTCTATTCTAATGACACACTCCCTTTTTAATGTAGGTAAGACTTTACACTTCTCTTTGACCTGTAGTGGCATGAGAGTATATAACATTTCATCAGATTATAGACAAAGTAGAACTAACCCCAGCACTGACATTAGCTGGACCCCACCTCTGCCATCTGTGGCCACCAAATCCCTTTCCTTGTTTGCAGCTACACCACAAGGGTGGGACTGCCTGTGGGTAAGTTGTTCAGTGGACAGTGCTCATCTTTTCTGAAAACTGTTTGCAAAATCGCCATTGGGCATTTGCTGGTTAAGATGCATCTATCCCAAATGAAAGTTCTCAGATTCATCATTTTGAAATTGTACCTGGCATCTAATAACCACGGTTTACAAAACCATCCACTCATCTTTTTTAAAACCCTATTTTGATTCTTGCTAAGGAATAAAGTTGCACGTTCTGGACTTGCCTAAAATTAGACACCTGGATTTTGGGTTTGGCATTGCTTTGTACATAAAAAAGGGGGAAAGCTCCTGGCATTGCTGTAACCATAGCTATGTAATGATTGTCCTTTTTTTTCCCTTCCCAACTAGATTAACAGCGTGTTTTCCATCCATTATATTCCATTCCCCAAGCTACTTTACGCCTTTTCTTCAAGACAGTCGTACAAAGGCATTTACTGTATGTTTATTCTCTGACTCCTCAGCAGCCCGAAGTAGAAGATGACACTCCTGTTCAGTACTAATGTTATACTCAAACCTAATAGATAATGGTTTTGTATTATTTGAGAAAACAAAAACCAAACAGTAAATCCTTCCACTAGAACAGCAGTGGTTTCAAGAAGTCATTTGTGAATTCTAAATTACACGAAAATGAAAACTAACCACGTGTTCTTTAATTCAGTATTAAAATTTTGCTTTTGCTTGTCATGTAGAATAGCCTACTCAAATTTTTGGTTTTAATTTCTGTCAATTTCATAATCATTGCATGAGCATTCACCATCACTGAATGCTGGTGCTGGCGCTCCTAATTTTCCTTTCTTTTTTATTTATTATTATTTCTAACTTTTTTGTTTTGTTTTTAACTTGCAGTGCAAGCTTCACATAAAGCCTGGCAAGCCAAGGATGTTCCCGCATTCACCTGCTTTTGCAGTAATATTGTATCTCTGCCATCTGTGTCCTTTTGTTTTATTTTTTTTTTGCTCTTCCCCAAACACCAATAACTATTAACTCATTTTGCCAAATGTTGTTGGGTGGTGGAAAATGATAGAACAAGGGAATGACAGCAGAGCTCTGTGCAGCTGGACTTTGTTTTTGGAAAGTAAATAATTTGCCTTTTATGCCTGTTCAGAATGGCAGCAGGAAGCATGCCTGTTACTTGTATGTCACTTTGGAATGAGGAAAGTGGGGTAAAATACTGCCTGTACGTCTGACATGAAAACTTCTCACCGCCTCAGCAGCTGAACTAAAAACCTGAATAGCCACGACAACAACTTGCATTTTCTTGATTATTCATCTCCATGATTGCACAATCCCTGAATTCACTGTCTCTTCTCCACACCTGCCCCAAACCAAGGCAGACGTACGTGTGTGTAGGCAGGATGGTGAATAAGCATTATGTATGGCTTTACCCCTGCATACATTTTTCATTTTAATCAATAACATTATTTGGCCTGAGCTTGTGGGTCTGTTCAGATGTCTCCTGTTATTGTTTGAAACTGCATCTGAATGCTTGCCTCTTAAATCCTGGCCAAGTTGGAGTGGACTTGCATAAGAAAACTGATTATATTCACGTTTATCATGCATCCTGATCTTCGCACAGATGGAGATCTCAAAGGTGGTAGCATACAACATTGCTTAGTGGAATCTTCTACTGAGGATGATGGGTTTTCCATAAGCTACTTACTACTTTAAATAAGAGATCTTTCCTAAACATACCTACTCAGCTCTCAGTGGGCTGAGGGGGAGGACCTTAGTAACTCATTTCAGGATATCAGTACTTCTAGTAAAATTTTTCAGTAATCATGAGGAGAAAATTTCTACAAATACTTCAGATAGAAAATTTATTATTTTCTATCATCGGCAGAACAAATCTGAAGGGATCGTTTCAGGGCAAGGTAGAAATGGCAAGGGACACAGCACAACCCGTGAGTCAAGACAGTAGAAATTGAACTTCACACTTAGTTTTTTTGCTTAGTCTCCTTTCAATATTTGGCCATAAAGAGAGGAAGAAATAGAATGGCTGCTGCTTCAAGTCCAGTTGTCCTGAGGAATCTTCCTCACCATGACCAGCTCCACCTGCTCTTCATGCCTAAGGCCCATCGTCTCATCAAAGGTTAGGACTAATGCAAGTGCCAGGACACACACTACATGCCTGATGTGTATGGAAGGGGCCATATTTAATCTCTCTTCGACTATTCCTTTCTGATGCCTATCCTTTCATCTGCTTGATTTTTCCCCCCTAACAAGATTCTCCCAGATTTCTAGTTCTGTAGTCTCCTGTTTCTTACTTGAAAGGATAACATTTCTCATGAACCCAGTACTTCACCTCTGCATTTTCCTTCTGGCCCGCACTATTTACACGTTAAATAAATAGGATCAAATATGCTGCACCTCCCTCCGCACACTCTTTTCCCCTCCCTCCCTTCCCCACCGGCCCTGACTCCTCCTTTTTTTTAAAAATTAATAAGTCTCTAGTCGATTTCAACAGAGATATTTTTCCCTTCTCTTCATCGTCAGTCATACTTAAGGGAAATAAGGAATGGTCTTCCATGAACTGATTTAGCCTTAATTAGGCAAAGTAAGGAAATCAGTTTCATTGAAGCCCAAACTAAGCTGGGATAGAAACTGCTAGAAGCAACAGCAGTAGTGGTCTTTACAGATTTAGTAGCTACTAGACCAGTGCTTTTGTTTTTGGCTTTTTTTTTTTTTTTTTTTTTTCCTTTTTTAAAAAAATTCTAGTCTGAAGCTAGCTGTGGAGCAGCCAAATATTAGATGGCATGCTGATTCTAACTATGGGCTGAATTTGCTCATATGCTGTGCACCAGACAAAAGCTTGAATATTTGTGTTGTATGCTTGTTCCAACCACTGCTTGTGTGAGCATTTTTGTGCTTTGTAACAGAAAATACACTTTAAAATTTTGTATCTTGCTTCACTAAATCCTTTTTAAAATGAGCCTAGCAACAAAAGGCATCCAGCTGACTTTTTGATTCCAAGATTGTTGATTGATTGGGTTGATTTATTTTTGCATTAAATTTTTCACAGCAAAATAAATTATATGGCGAGTCAGGGAATAAAAAAAATCAAGAGACATATAGAAGCTGTTTTTTTTTTTAATGTGTTGCTTCTGAACTTTTTTCTACCACTGCTCCCCAGCCCTGTTTAGTTTGTTCTTGCTGCTCTTTTCTTTCTGTATCTATGCCTTTTTTCACAGTAGTCCTTGGCTCTGCACGGAGTAAATGATACCCTCAAATCTAATTGGATGTGCTTTCGCCTTTGCATGTAAGTATAGTAGTAAGAAATCTTTGAGATCTTTCTGACTTTTTAAAATTAGAGAAAACAAATGGGATGGATGGAATTATTTTTTTCTTCTTTTGGAGGGGGGTAGGGAGGTAATGGTTTAAATAGCCTTTGTTTACAAAAAAAACAAAAAACAAAAAAACCCAAAACTAGATATATGTAAAATGGTCACATTTATATTTTTTTCACTAGAACTACATAAACTCAACTCCTTAGCCTCTGTGTGGAAGTCAGAAATTATGAATCCCAGCCTGTGTTCTACACAGCATCACAGGATATTACAGAGGGTCCTTGATTCTTGACAATGTCAATAAAGTTAGAATAAGAAACTACCACCTTCTACTGCAGAAAATCAGAAAATCAAGAGGAAAAAATGTTTTACACTAGGCTGCCTTTGTGACCACTTAATTTTTTTATCTTTGTTTAATGGTCTCTCCTTAAACTGCTAACTCCTGGCAGTTGTCACCTTTTTTTTTTTTTTGGCCTGATAGCTGTAACTGACCTCCCTGAACATCTTTTTTTTCAAACATAAGGACCATCTTTTTGCTTCTTCTGGACTGTAGGATGTTATGGAAAAGCATTTATGAGAATTTATTGCCAGTTCAGAGATAATGTTTTCCCAGCTTAAACTCTCTATTAATTGGCCAAGGTTTTGTCCAAAAAAGGGCATCTCAACCAGGGGAATTACTCAATGTAATGCTGGGCACAAGTTATTCATCATCTTCCTTCTCTGCTTTGTAACTCACCAGCAATAACACTTACTCTGCATATCTCGTGCACCTCAAATGCTTGGTTTCCTCACTTTCTTGACATATCCATAAGTGTTTCACATACAAACTGTGGAATCAGGTTTTTCAGCTGTTCCCGACCCACGTCATACTGTCTCTGTGTGGTCCTACCAAAACTGTCCATTCAGATCCCTTTGCAAGTCTCTGGAATTGTCAAGTCTCAGCTTTCAAAAGTCCTGGTTCTATTGACAGGACCCATATGTGATGACTTTTTAGTGGGAATTATGACCTACAAAGTCTAGTTTGTACGTAGGTATGAAGAAAATTTTTTAAATAAATTGAAAATTAAGCTGTGAACAGCATTAGAACTTTGTCTATTTCTTAATTTTAAAATATACTGATATGCCTTAAACTGTAGTTGTAGATCTTTGTCATTTTGCTCTTTGAAAATAACCGATGTGTTTTCCAAAACTGTTGTGTAATCTACTTTCAGTGTTAATGCAGAATTGTCATATATGTAAGCTGCATGTTAGGCACCTGTCTTTTTTTTTAAACTAAAATAATTGTATTGATGTGAAGCATATCATTTTTTTAAGTATAAAAGTAATCACTTAGCAACATGCTTGGTAATTTGGTGTCTGTTAAGGTAGGAGAGTGACGGACAGATAATCTATGCATCTATCACTAGTGCCAAGACATAACGCAGGGGAAAATATATTTTTACCCAAACATTGTTTTGCGTGCCCTTTTGTGAATTCTTTTTAGTCACTGCTGATATGCATATGTACACGTGCGTATTATATTGGGTAAAAGAAACAGGAATGACAGTCTCATGATTTATTGCTTTGCGTGGTGGACTTTAAATGCTGCCATCTGGGCAGCACCAACTTCTCCAAGATCCTTGCCGTGTGGTGTCCTGTACTTCATATACCGTCTCCATCCCCATCCTGCCATCCTGATCCCTCTCGGCCCATCCGAGGCACCCTCTTCCTGCCTGGCCTCTGGTGCCAGGACTGCCACCCTCACGCTCCAGCTGAGCTTGGTGAAGTCATCCCTTTAACTGACACCTGCCGTTCTTTCACAGCTTGTTGTAGAGAAGCTCCTTTCTTTTTGTTTCTTTTTTAAGCCTATAAGAATCCAGTTTGAATCTGAACCTTTCTTTTTTCTCTTCTGTAGCTTCTTCTTTATGTAACCATCCTGTTGACAAGCCCTACTCTCTCCTAATGGACATAGAGCATTAGAAGAGCAGGAGCTGTCTGTTCACACGTGTTGGGGAAGAGTTACCTCATTTCCACCATCGCCTCCTGTTCTTTTAAAGTCTGGGTCAAATATTGCACTGCTGTTTGTATTTGTCAATGTCTGTTTACAAACCACGACCCATAGTGGATACTGAAGTGACTTATCACTACCAAAAATAACAGTACTTAATTAAAAGGAAAAGGAAATTGAGTGAAACAGAGAACTTGGGCCAAGACCCAAGGTCTTGTGTTGGGATCTAATTGCTTAGCTGTCATGTTCTTGAAGCTGCTGATCCAAGAACATGTGGACTGAAGACAGCATGTACCCTAACATGAGGTGCCACCCCCTCTGGGGCCCAAAAACTTGATCTCGTGGTAACTCCTGACCTCTGTGTCCCATGAGCAACATTCTGAACAGCCCGATCAGGATCCTCGACCATCATCAGGTCATAAGATCTGGGCAACATTTTCCTTCCTTTTGTTAGTTTTGTGGGTTGCTGTGGTGTTTGGGGATTTTTTTTTTTTTTTTTTTTTTTAAATTTT